GGTAAGGTTTGGTCTTTGTGAAGGCCAGAGACCATTTACTGAACCAGCTATTTTACATATTCTTGGTCCCCACCATGATTCTCTTACTCTCTGACTCTTTCTAAATCTTTTTTTACCTTTGTATTAGTCCATTTTCATGCTGCTGATAAAGACATAACCGAGACTGGGAAGAAAAAGAGGTTTAATTGGATTTATACTTCTGCGTGGCTGGGGAGGCCTCAGAATCATGGTGGGAGGCAAAAGGCACTTCTTACATAGTGGCAGCAAGAGAAAATGAGGAAGAAGCAAAAGCGGAAACCCCTGACAAACCCATCAGATGTCGTAGGACTTATGCACTATCATGAGAATAGCCCAGGAAAGACCAGCCCCATGATTCAATTACCTCCCCCTGGGTCTCTTCCACAACACATGGGGATTCTGGGAGATACAATTCTAGTTGAGATTTCACTGGGGACACAGTTAAACCATATCATTCCATTGGTGGCCTCTCCAAATCTCAATTCTTGATTTCTGTGCGCCCACAGGCTCAACACCATGTGGAAGCTGCCAAGGCTTGAGACTTCCACCCACTGTTGTCATAGCTCAGGCTCTATATTGGCCCCTTTCAGCCATGGCTGGAGTGGCTGGGACACAGGACACCAAGTCCCCAGGTTGCACACAGCACAGGGACCCTGGGCTCAACTGACAAAACCACTTTATCCTCCTGTGCCTCCCAGCCAGTGATGGAAGGGGCTGCAGGGAGGGAAGGTCTCTGATATGGCCTAGAGATATTTTCACCATGGTCTTGGGGATTGACACTAGGCTCCTTGCTACTTATACAAATTTCTGCAGATGGCTTGAATTTATTTCCAGAAAATGGGTTTTTCTTTTCTATTGCATAGTCAGTCTGTAAAATTTCCAAGCTTTTAGGCTCTGCTTCACTTTTAAACCTGAACACCTATAACAGCACCTAAGTCACCACTTGAATGCTTTGCTGTCTAGAAATTTCTTCCACCAGATATCCTAAATCATTTCTCTCAAGTTTAAAGTTCCACAAATCTCTAGGACAGGGGCAAAATGACATCAATCTCTTCGCTAAAATCTAGCAAGAGTCACTTTTGCTCCAGTTCCCAACAAGTTCCTCATGTCCATCTGAGACCACCTCAGCCTGGACTTTATTGTTCATATCTCTATCAGCATTTTGAGCAAAGCCATTCAACAAGTATCTAGGAAGTTCCAACCTTTCCCACATTTCCTCTTCTTCTGAGCCCCCCAAACCATTCCAATCTCTGTCTGTTACCCAGTTCCAAAGTTGCTTCCATATTTTTGGGTATCTTTTCAGCAGCACCCCACTCTACTGGTACCAATTTACTGTATTAGTCTATTTTCATGCTGCCAATAAAGACATACCTAAGACAAGAAAGAAAAAGAGTTTTAATTGGACTTAAAATTCCACATGGCTAGGGAAGCCTCAGAATCGTGGCAGGTGGTAGAAGGTACTTTATATGGCGGTGGCAAGAGAATATGAGAAAAAAGCAAAAGCAGAAACCCCTGTTAAACCCATCAGATCTTCTAAGACTTGCTATCATGAGAATTGCATGGGAAAGACTGGCTGCCATGATTCGGCTACTTCCCCCTAGGTCCTCCTACAACATGTGGAAATTCTGGGAGATACAATCCAAGTTGATATTTGAGTGGGGACACGGACAAACCATATCAACCTGTATAAACCAGAGTGTGCCGTAACTTCATCACTATGTCATCTAAAAAACGCCTTTCACTAATTCACTAATAACCTTGCTTTTCTGAGCCTAAGGGAAAAAAGGCATTTTGCATGGAAGGTAGGATAGTAGTGAGCAGGGCTGGCAAATGTGTGGCAGCCTTTCTCAGAGTGATCTGAGACTTGGCAGAAAATAAGCACTCAGTCCCAAATCATGGCAATGTGAGGTGATGGATGTGGCTTGCAGATATTTCTCTTGTTATGAATTAGACTGTCCTTGGTCAGGTTAGCTGGTCAAGAAAAGTAATCAATTAATAAAAAAAATTGTCTTTTAAAATAATAAATAAAAAAAAATAAATGAATCTCAACTCACCACAATAAAAATGTGAAATAATTTTAGTTTCTCCATAGTTGCCTCCAACTGTAAAATTGTTAGACACCCCCTTCTTGATATTTTACCTTGTCAGGGATATTTGGAAAGTACTAAAGAAGGCTGGGGCTTTCTTAGCCTTTGCCATATAACAAAGCTCCTTAATCAATAGACGTGTGAATTTGTTACATTTATTACTAGGAGGGCATAGTGCCACAAGCCCTCCCTTTGGGTTTGTCTGTTTCTTTATGATGCTGGTGATCTTTGTTGATTTCATGGTTGCCTGGTCTCCAGGTATTTGGTTTGCATGTATTTCCTTGGTGGAGTTTCCCTTTGAGGGAAGTGAGATTTAAAAGCTAGATCATGGGCCGGGCGCGGTGCCTCATGCCTGTAATCCCAGCACTTTGGGAGGCTGAGGTAGGTGGATCACGAGGTCAAGAGATCAAGACCATCCTGGTCGACATGGTGAAACCCTGTCTCTATTAAAAATACAAAAAATTAGCTGGGCATGGTGGCGTGTGCCTGTAATCCCAGCTACTCAGGAGGCTGAGGCAGGAGAATTGCCTGAAGGAGCTATTACAGGTGGCGTGTGCCTGTAATCCCAGCTACTCCAGGAGGCGGAGGTTGCGGTGAGCCGAGATCGCACCATTGCACTCCAGCCTGGGAAACAAGAGCGAAACTCTGTCTCAAAAAAAAAAAAAAAAAAAAAAAAAAAAAAAAAAAAAGTTAGATCATGTGGGTTTTTGGTAGCCACTCTAATAAGTCTAAATTTGGAGGAGATTGGGGTTGGTTTTGGTTTACTTTCTTCTTTTTCCTCTAAGACCTTTGTTCTAGTAAATTTTATTTTTAACATTAAAGAAAAGGCTTTGGAAAATTTCAAGTTATAACATGATCTGAATGTTGCCTTAGGAGGAACTTTCTATTGAGTCAAAGATGGTCTGCAAAGGTGGAGAAAGAGAAACCAGTTAAAAGGCTTTAGGTGAGAGATTATTGTAGCTAAGATTCGAATAATGCTGGTGAAGATGGTAAGGAGCTAGATTCAAGATGCATTTTTATTGTAGAGCCAATAGAACATACTAAATAATTCGATGTGAGGTGTGAAAGAAATGGAGTGAAGTGCCAAAGAATTCTACAATGTAGCAATTAAAACCACAGGTGAAAGTAGGAGAATATCTTGGTGGGGACCATGATTAAAAATGAAGCAAATTATATAATCAGATGGAAGTGACTTCAGAAGAGAATGCACAGGAAATAATGGCAGCAAAGCAAAGATCTTTCCTTCCTCTCTGACCCCCTGAGTCAATGGAGAGGCAAGAAAAGAAAACATCTATTTAACTGGTTTTCAGAAAAAGAGTGGTATCAAGTGAAAATAGGTATCAGACAAGAGCAGGTAGAAAAAGGTATGTTAGAGAGAGGATTCAAAATCTTAAGGGATTTATTCACAATAAAATGGCACTCAAGGGACCCAGGGACCGCGGCTGTGAATGAGGCTATAGGATGAGTTTGTAAAGAAATTGCACAGGAGGTACCCTAATCAGGACACTATTAGTTTAAGGTATCGTGGAAAATAGCTTGAAGGTACATGTTAATGATAAGGGAGGAGAAATGTTGAGTTGGAAAATCTGGTTTAAAGGCCAAGTTATACAACTTAGCAGTGTCAAGGTTCCAACTAGAATGTTAGCATGATAGAAGGCATAGCTTGTGTTGATGAGACGGTATGAATGGTCTATTTTACACTTTAACCTGGTATGTCTTTTCTAATTTCTACATTTATTGTTGAGTAGAATAATTATGACATCATAAGAAAATCATCTAATCGTGATTTCTGCTTTTCTTTTAAAATTTCTTCTCACTTTCATTAGTCTTTTACCTTTTCTCACTATCTAGACTTCTTCCTTGGTCTCACCTCTCCTCTGTTATATAGGTTCTGGTATATTGTTTAACGTACTAACTTTCTAACATCTTATTTTATATTTGAAACTAATTTTTTACAACCTTGGGGCCCAGAATCTTAAAAATACTTAACCAGTCTGGGCACAGTGGCTCACACCTATAATCTCAGCTGTTTGGGAGGCCAAGCTTGGAGGACTGATTGAGCCCAGGAGTTCGAGACCAGCCAAGGCAACATAGTGAGACCCTGTCCTATGAAACAAAAAAGTAACAAATGCCCAGCTGGAATATATTTCTTGTGCTGAATCACAAATATAACATCAACTATTCACATTTTTGGAAAGTGAACATTGTTTTCTGGATGACCACATCATGTATGCCTTTTATCATTTCCCTAGTAATGCCACCTTGTGACATCACTAATGTCCATATCTATGCAATGAGCCTCTCATATGCAGGATAAGGCAACATTTTTAAGCAAAACATGAAATCTTGTGACATAGCACCTGGAGAGGCTGTGAGTTTGATATATATTTTGCCACTTTATTGTCAAGCTAAACATTATTCTTTTTTATTAAAGCTTAATAATTAAAGCTTTATTTTACAAGGCAGATTTATATATACTGCTTTATTAGTAGACATATCACACTTTGTTTTCAAACCTTGCCATAGCCCATTTAACAGGACTTGAACTTCAGAGTTGCTAAATTGCCTCTGCTATGATGGAGGAGAAAAAAATGCTTAGATAAGAGCAATTTATTGTGAATGGAGGAGGTGGTGAGTTTTGTCATGTTAGAAGCTGACTGAATCATGAGTAAGTCAAATGTGTAAAATAGTTTCATTGAGAGACGGGTTTTCAATACTAAAAGTTTTTATATTCCATTAGCTTTGATGGAGAATTTGAAAAGGATTGCCTTACATCAACAGTATTGCTCTGTTAAGTGTGATTTGCAAAGTACAAGTATCTGCCAAGATGGTAATAATTAGAAATTACTTTTGATAGCAGCCTTCTGTTACAAACTTAATTATCATAGAATTTTGAATGTTTGCAGTGTCTATATTGACAAAAGGCCAAAGGCTTGCTGAGCCAGCTAACTGGCTTTTTACAATGGCTTGTCAAGATTGCAGATGCCGCCTGCGGGGACAACAATCTTATTTGAGGTAACATTTTTCATTCTTGGAACTCTTTACATTTAATTTTGTATTCAATATTTACCTTCTTATTGAATTATAGGATTCATAAAAACAAGCCTCATAGTCTCAAAATTTTGCATAATGTGTGGCATGTTATGGCCTCTCAATAAATGTTGGTTGAATGAATAATTTTAATATAGGAAGATTACTCAAACTGGCAAACTGTGCTAAATAATGATCGATTTTTTTCTATTAGTCAAACTTCAATTAACTATAAAAAGTACAAGATGAGTCAGAAAAAACAAATTTCACAAATAGCTTAGCAATTTTATTCATTAAGTTTCTACCTTCTCTTTCTTCAATAAACCTTTTTCTGGAGCTAATTCTGATCTGTCTCTTGAGGGATATGTAGTCAATGGCAAATGGTCCCATGGGAAGCAAATAGAAAAAGCCAAGAGTCTAAAAATTAACAAACTACACAATCAATCCCCAAAATGTTTATATGTAAAAAAATAGCATTTGGGTGTTTGAGACCATGTGTCACCTGTTAATCACTGGAGAATTATTAAAATTCCAGTATTATTTCATAATGCAACACATAAAAATAATACTGAGTGCTCTTGGAAAATGTTTCTCAAGCCATATTTGAGGGGTTTAGTTACTTCACTGGATATTGAACCTTTTTAATAATTCCATTCTAATTCTCTATTTATGATTCTGTGTGTATGCATATAAGAAGGAACAAACTTACTTTGTTATGAAAAGGTTTTTGGAAAGATGTTTCTCTCTAAAATAGAAAACACTGGAGGAATCAGTCGAGGAGTGTCTATCAGGCTAGTAGCTGAAAAAGCTGAAGTTGATTGGGACTTAAATGACATGCAAACATTTAAAAATCAATAGTTCATTAAAGAGGTGTGTTTCAAAGTTAAGTATCGAGTGTGCTACAAACATTTCAAGAAAAATGTCATTAGGCATAGCTACCAATAATTATGTTCAATTCATAACCATTGAAATACAAGGATCAAAAAAACAATTTTGTCCCCCCAAAATAAATTTGACTCTTCGAGTCACTTGTTAGAAGCAAAGGTGCATTACCTAAGGCCATCAGGTGATTACATAATCAGGTAATACATAATTCTGCAGACAATGCTGTGAAATTTAGGATATATCCTTAGATACAGCACCCTCTTCGAAGTCAACTCAGCAGTGTTGCTTTGGCAGAAAAACTGCTTTTGGTTAGATAGGTGAAGCCAATCATAAATTGCTAAAATTTTTCTATGAGGTGAGATAGTTGGATGCAGGCATTCTATTTATAATGGCCACTATTTTGCAAACCCATCTTTAAAGAGAAATGCTTCATAAGTGTAATATGGTGAGGACAGGGGAATGACAGGGGCCATTGGTAATGTAGGGGTCAATGGAAAGCTTTCCCTTCACTCTCTGAAGTTTTGCTGGAAAATCAAGTCACAAAAGACAGACTAATAGGAAAGGCTTACAAATTTATTTAACAACATACCACGAGGAAATCATAGTAGAATAATTACCCAATAACCCAATGAGGTACAGATGATAATATACCCATCTTTTTAGAGGAAAAGAAGATGGGAATGTGTGTGTAATTTTAGGAGGGTAGTAAATGAATTCGATGGGCTTGAAGAATGTACCATGGCCTGGGACAAAGCCCATTGGCCCTACAGAGCAGACAACGGTTTGTGACAGACTACAGTCCTTCTTCCTAAGATATGAGTTCAGTTAATGAAAACTCAGAAAAGAAACTTTTGTTTCCTGTGTTTTGGGAGAGAAAAAGCGTTTAGAGGGAGGAGCTGGAAGAGAGGGGTATGGTCAGAGAGACCCCCTGGCTTCTTCAGTTTAGCATGTCAAAGCACCATATTTGGGGAGACTGGTGTCTGAGCCTCGACATTAAGAAACTACTCTCAGTACAACTGAGTGCAACTACTGGCAGTGCAAGGTCCTTTCAATGGTTAATTGTACTAATGCAAACCTATAACATTCTGGTGAGGTAGGTAAAAACCTCAGTTAAATGAGTGGAAACAATTACAGAAATACGGAGTTTTGTTTAAATAAGGGGGAACAAAAGAACGCAATCCCATCGATTTTGATGCTGACATGTATTTGAAGTATTAGCGGTGTTAACAATTTAACAGCGGAGCACCCAGGACCAGAACTTCTTTCCGAGTTTGACGAGTGGGAAATTGCAGCAGATAATCTGGAAGAATAATAACCAATAGAGAAGGAAAAGCAGTATTTAAATTCACTTCTGAGCCGAAATTGGGCATTTCGGGGGTTGGACTTGGCAAACAGACAGTAGTCCAGTTCTTTAGGAAATGATTAGGGAGATTTTTCCGGGTTGCTTCGGGATCCACAGAATGGAAGTCGCCTGACAAAAGGAAGAATCCCTCCCCCGTCTGCAGGGCTTCCTCTCTCCCCTCCAAGGGACCACAGGGCCCCTGGGGACCACAGCTCGGTGCTGCCTGGTTTCCTTCGTCAAGGGACTGGCGGGGAGGGCTGAGGCGCGGCTTTGCGAAGGGCAGCTGAGGCAACCCGGCTCTCACCGCCTCCTGCCCGCGCGCTCTCTGTTGCTCTACAGCCCCGAGGCTCGCGAAGATAGCTGGCGCCCCAGGCTCAGTCCTCAGGAAGCCATGGCGAAGTCCCGGGGCCGTCTGTACCTTTGGATGTGCTTGGCTGCTGCGCTGGCATCTTTCCTGGTGGGATTTATAGTGGGTAAGTGAAGGAAACACCTTCCCCTTACTCCGGGGCTCGTGATCCTCTGCAGAAATAAAGGGAGAAATCCTGGACCTCGAAGGGATTGGCGTGTGCGCTAGTCCTAGCCAGCCGGGGTAGATCTGATGAACTCTAAAGATTACAGCAAAACCAGATGAAATGTATTTTTGGGCTTCCTATAGACAAACTGTGCTTGAAATTCAAATGTATTAAATGTTCACTGAGTTCTGGGCTGCTGAAAAGACAACTTGCAGCTGTCACTATCTGCAGGGGTGAAAAAACTCATTTTATTTCCAAGCAATATTAGTGGGTCAAAACTTTCAACTGATATGAGCAGCATCAAAAGCAAAACAAAAAACAAAAACCCCTGCTCTTCGTTTAAACAAACATTTGTGGAATGTTCCCTAACTGTCAGGGACTAAATGTCCAGGGAACAAGAAAGGCCATGACTTCATGCATAACGTAAGAAAACAGAAGTATTTCCCTTAAATAAAACTCCTTTTAAGCAGCTCAAAATTACATTACATATCAGAATTTACAGGATTTCTGCATTTGATATGAATATTATTTTTTAAAGCTCACCATGATCTGTCAGATACAGGCTTTTTTGGGGTAAGGAGAGAAGGGTGGCTTCACTTCTAGTTTTAATAAAGTCTAAGTGATTTTGTATATGTGTGTGTATGTTTGTGTATTTTTTTCCCCTCAGGCTGGTTTATTAAGCCTCTCAAAGAAACAGCCACTTCTGTGCGCGATCATCAAAGTATACGGTGGGAACTGGTATCCGAAATGAAAGCTGAAAATATCAAATCATTTCTTCGGTAAGCTTATTTGGCGTATTTGATCTTAAAAATCATGTTTAAAATGTTGCAGAGTAAGAAGCACACTGTAACTTGTTATATTCATAAGAACAGTCTTCTCTGTGTGAAATTACATATTAGTCATTAACTTATTTTTTTAATGCCTCTTTAAACCATTCTTGGGGTGAAATCTGTTAGAATGTTACAAAAGTAGGTTTTTTGTTCCTAACTTTATCTAACAAAAAGTACCTGACTGGCTTATTGAGAGATGTTTCAATGTCATGTAACTTTGGATCTAACTGAAGGTTTCCCTTTGTTCATCAGTGCCTGGGTTTTAATCAGCAATTTTTTTTAGTATCATATTCTGCCAAATAAATTAGATGCTTGTTGACTAAGTGATTTAGTGGAAAATTGATCAAAGTCTCTCATTCTGTTTGCCAAAAGTTAAACCTTTATCCCATCTTGCAAGTATAAATTTATTGTTTACAAATAAGACAAAATGAAACCAAAAAGAATCCTTGCAAATCCTCTAGCTTCTAAGCATGAAAAGCAGTGGCAATCAAGGGAGTGATTATAAAAACTCCTTAAGAGCAATGACCATGGCATTTGTTTCTGTATTCAGACTCTTTCAAATGAGAGTTATTTTTAAAAATCAGCTTTAGTGAAGTATAATTTACATAAAATAGACTGAATCCCTACAAATCCTATAATTTAATTTGAGAGTTGTGACAGATGTATGTTATGCTGAACAAACCACCTCCTCCATCATGCTACAAAAATATTACATCATGCCCTTTGTGGTTTATTACCCACTACCTTCCATCCCTGGCACTAAGCAATCACTGATGAATTTTAATGTCACTGGTGATTCATTTGCATTTTCTAGATTACTATATACATGGAATAATATATGTTCTTTTGTATCTAGCTTCTTTTACTCAGAATAATGATTTTGAGATTGATCTAGATTGTTGTATGTATTACTAGTTCATTATTTTTATTGCTGAGTAGAATTCCATTGTATGGATATACTACAAGGTGTAGTTGGTGAAAATTTGGGTTGATTATAGTTTTTGACTATTGTGAATAAGGCTGCTATGAACAGTTGTCTACAAGTCTTTCTGTGGATATGTGGTTTTATTTCTTTTGAAATGGTTGGGTTTGATGATAAGCATAAGTTTAACTTTTTAAGAAAATGTCAAAGATAATTGAAAAGTGGTTGTACAAGTTTGCATTTCTACCCCAAAATAAGGAAATCAGTATTCCAAAGAGATATCTGCACTCTGATGTTTATTGCGGCAGTATTCACAATAGCCAAGATATAGAAGTAACTTGTATCCATCAACAAATACTATGATGTGTATACAGGATGGATTATTACTCAGCCCCCCCCAAAAAAAGAAATCCTATCATCTGCAGCAAAATGGATGGTCATTATCTTAAGTGAAATAAGCCTGGCACAGAAAGACACATATTACAAGATCTCACTCATATGTGGGAGCTAAAAACATTGATCTCTGATGGTTACCAGAAACTGAAAGGGTAGTGAGGAGGGTGGGGATACAGAGAGATTGGTTCAATGGGTACAAAAATACAGTAGATAGAAAGAATAAGATCTAGTATTACAGAGCACAATAGAGGAACTATAGTTAATGATTTATTGTATATTTCAAAACAACTAGAGTGTATCTGAAATGTTCCGAACTCAAAGAAATGATGTGCTTGAAGTGATAGATATCCTAATTACTCTGATTTAATCATTACTTATTGTATGCTTGTATCAAGATATTACATATATCCCATAAATGTGTACAAGTAGTAGGTATCCATAACATTTAAAGAAAAGGAATAATTTTAGAAGTCTACTCACGGCTTTGGCCTATTTTCTATTTAGATATATGTTCTTTTCCCCCTGTGGAGTTTTTTTGTTTTCTGTTGTTGTTTTTGTTGTTGTTTTGAGACAGAATCTCACTCCATCACCCAGCCTGGAGTACAGTGGTGCGATCTCAGCTCACTGCAGCTTCCATATCCTAGGTTCAAGGGATCCTCCCACCTCAGCCTTCTGAGTAGCTGGGACTACAGGCACACACCACTACACCCAGCTAATTTTTTTTCTTTTTTTTTTTTTTAATACAGACAGGGTTTCATTATTTTTCCCAGGCTGAGCTTGAACTCCTAAGCTCAAATAACCCACCCACCTCACTCTGCCAAAGCACTAGGATTACAAGCATGAGCCACCATGTCCAACCCTCTATGGAGTTTTTAAAGTTCTTTGTATAGAGTTCACTCTTGAATAATGTGGGCATAGAGTGCTGACACCCCTATGCCATCAAAAATCCACATACAACTTTTGACTCTCCCCAAACTTAACTATTGATAGCCTACTAGTCTCCTTAGCAATAACATAGACAATTAACATGTATTTTGTATGTTACATGTATTATTTGCTGTATTCTTAAAATAAAGTTAGAAAAAATAATGATATTAAGGAAATCATAAGAAAGAGAAACATTTACACATTTACTATTCATTAAGTGAATGCAGATTATCCTAAAGCCCTTGATTCTAGTGGTCTTCACAGTGAGTAGGCTGAGGATAAGGAAGAGGAAGGGGTTGGTCTTGCTGTCTCAACGATGGCAGAGGCAGACAAGATGGAGAAGGGGAGGCAGCAAAGCCAGGCACATTCCTTTTAACGCTTATAAATCATGTCTGTTTTTTACTTTTTCTTTTCTCTAAAAATATTTTTATACAGTGCCAGTTCTTCTTCCATCATTCACTTTAGTGTTAGTGCCTGTATCATAGAAAGACCATATTGGAAAAGAAGGGACAAGCAGTTTTGAATAATGGAAACCCTTCTGCCAGATTGTCTAATATCAACTTGTTTTCTGGCATTGCTTCTTGTATGTCTTCTTCCTCATTATCTAGTACTGGTTTAGAAGTATTCATCTCCATGAAATCATCTTCTGTTAATTTCTCGAGTGTCTGCTACCTTTTGGTTTTTTTCCAAGATAAATATCTTGAAACACTTCATCCCTCAACCTTTTTTTTTGCTATTTCACAATCTCTTTCATGGTTACCTTATTTGGCTTTGTCATAAATCCGGTGAAGTAATATACAACATCTGCACACAGGTTTCTCTAGCAGGAACTTATTGTGTGGGGCTTGATGGCTTTCACAGCATTTTCTATAACGACCGTGGCATCTTGAATGGTGTAAATCTTTCAGAATTTCATGATGTTCTGCCGGGGTTCTCTTCCATAGTACTGACAATCCTTTCCATAGAGTGCAATGAGCCTTAAAGATTCCTATTATGACCCCTTGATCTAGAGGCCAAATTAGAGATATGTGTTTGGGGGCAAGTATGCTTCCAGAACTCAGGGTTTTTGGGTAGCAGAGGTGTTTTCCAATACAAAAAGAACTTTCAATGGCAGTCCCTTCCTGGCAAGGTATTTCCTGACTGAAGGAACAAAGTATGGGTGGAACCAATCTAGAAAAAGGGTTTCTGTTGTCCAATCCTTCTTGTTGTACAACCAAAAGACTGAAAGCTGGTGTTTATCTTTTTCCTTCAAGTCTTGGGGATTAGCAGCTTCATAGATAAAGGGCAATGCTGATCATAAACCCAATCGCCTTTGCACAAAGCAGGAGAATTCGCCTATCCCTTCCTGCCTTAAATCTCAGTGCTTATATCTCTTCCTTACTCATAAATATCCTTTGTAGCATCCCCCCCCCCCGCCTTGAGAATAGGGAACTTTAATTTGCATTAAAAAGTATTTTCAGGCAGATATCCTTTCTTCTCAGTACTTAATTTATAGAATTCTAAATGTACAGTTTTTCACTTTTCTGTACTTTAAAGATGTTACTCCATTGCCTTCTGGCTTGCTTATATTTTCTCCTAAGAAATCTGTGATAATTTTTTTCAATATATATATTTTATTGCACTTTAGGTTCTGGGGTGCATGTGCAGAACATGCAGGATTGTTGCATAGGTACATACATGGCAATGTGGTTTGCTGACTCCATCCACCTGTCACCTTTATCTGGCATTTCTCCCCCTATTATCCCTCCCCAATCACTAGCCCCTGCTGTCCCACCCCTATTCCCCCACAACATACCCCAGTGTGTCATGCTCCCCCACCCCGTGTCCATGTGTTCCATTAACACCCGCCTATGAGTGAGAACATGTGGTGTTTGTTTTACTGTTCTTGTGTCAGTTTGCTGAGAATGGTCTCCAGATTCATCTATGTCCCTACATAGGACACAAACTCATCATTTTTTATGGCTGCATAGTATTCCATGGTGTATATCTACCACATTTTCCATGTACAATCTATCATTTATGGGCATTTGGGTTGGTTCAGGTCTTTGCTATTGTAAACAGTGCCGCAATGAACATATGTGTGTATGTGTCTTTATAATAGAACAATTTATAATCCTTTGGATATATACCCAGGAATGGAATTTATATTTTTAGGTCCTCTCCCCTAACCCATCTTCCATTGTAGGAAAATGCTTTTAAGGTTGTAAGACCTGCCATTGACTATTTGGGCCCTGGAACCAGTTTATGCTCTCCTAGATGGAAAAGTTCTGCTATAGAGAGAGCCAATCCTAAGCAAGACAAATTATACACCAAATACAAAGTCTCATAGCCTTCAGCCTCTGAATTTCCCCCAAAGATTTCACCAATTCAAGACTGGTTCCACCACGGATTTGAACCAGCAACCTTAACCACTGTGCAAACAAGCCACTTGCAGTAAGGGAAGGCAGAAAGCTTTCTTAAGCCGTGTTTTGAGTGACAATGCTGTGCCCTGAGGCAGCTCGGCTTCTTTAAAAGCTGGGCGGGGCTGACAGCCAGCAGCCGCTTCCTTTCCCCCACCCACACCCACCGGAAGAGGAAGAAAGCCACTAGCCGCTTCAGTTTAAAAGCTGCGTTGCAGCAGCTTCTGGCCTGTGGTGAATTTTCCCACCCCCATGGCTTTCGGTTGCCATGTTGACCCCACCAGAACCACGTGAACGCCTGGGCC